AGAAGAAAGAATATGTACATTGTATGGTATGCAGCATGCAGGGATAATGCATTTCATAAAAATTTGGCGACCCCCAAAAAACTTCTGGCGACCCCCACAGGGGTCGCGACCACTAGTTTGCGCACCACTGTTATAGTGCGTCTAATAATTTGGCCAGGGACTGTAAATATTTTTTTAAAAATAAGTGATTACTTGTTATCATTAACGATTTTGAACTAAGTTTTAACTGACATAAATAGTTTTTTAGATATTCATCACTGATTTTTAGTTTTTTCAAAACTGTTTGCGCATTTTGTGACTTGGGTTTTCTAAATTTCATTTTCTTCAATGCTCGCTAAACAGAAGTTTCTACAATTATGGTTTTCAAAAATACCTTAGTTCATTAAGAATTTGTTAAGAATTTAAAATCGCAAAATAATTTCATGTCTAAAAACAAAACCTTGAAACAAATGTGTTATTTTTTTTACAATTTGTTTTTTATTTTATTTGATTTCAGGCTACAGTCACATTACTGGAGAATTTAGACATTATAATGAAGAAAACTCCAAAAAGTGATATTAAAGCCGACGTTCTTCCTATGCTGTACAGCGCTTTTGAATCGACTACCCCTCAAATTCAGGTGAGACAGTATTTATAATCCTCTGACTTCTCACTATTTTGAACAAGATTTAAATCTTTCTCGCAAAAAAGAAGGTAGTTAATATTTATATAATTAACGAACTGAGACAAAATGATACTTTTATGTATACAATTTCGTGCTCAAAGTGGTACCTTTAGAAAAACTAAGCTTCATTGTGAAGTTCTAAAACCGTCAATATCAACAGCTGGCTTATTCGCAGTCAAGCCTTTAAGAATTCAAGTAAATTTGAAATTTAAAACTACTTCTTTTTTGCAGATAACATACAGGATAGTTAGTGAAATAAATTTCACAGTAAACAACAGAACAGCTGGAAGACATAAAGCAAATATGTTCAAGTAGGGCATAAAATAGTAGATATAAAACAATACAATGGGCATAAAACAGTAATTTATTATGCATGGTCATTGATCTAAAGTAAATCATTTTTATAACTACTTGAACATTTTATAACTACTTTTTTAACTACTAACTTATAACTACAGCAATTAAGTGTACATTCGACACTAAGACACTACCAATTAGACTAAGACACAAATTCATTACTACACTTTTGACACTAAGAATTTACACCGTAACTAGAAGATGAGGTACTTTTACTGCCCACTTTTTTCATAACTACATTGAATTACACATTTTTGCGAAATAAAGTAAGAAATTTCACAACAGCCAGTTATAGGCCAATGGTGAAATCGAGGTAAAGCTCCACAACTTCATAAACAACAGAATGATGTTGGTATTATGGTCAACACTGTGGTCGTATGTGACGAGCTGGTACAAATCGACTTTAAGTTGGAGAGGGGAGCTTTCAGCCACTACCAGGGATAGAACCCCGGTCCTTTCCAATGACAGCTCAATGCCTTAACCGCTGTACTCTACCACGGTTCATTGAATGATATATATCTATTTAAATATCAAACACAATGTTTAAAAACACAATGTTTCTTTTTATGAAATTTTTGTATATTATTGCTTACATCAGAAAATAGTTTGATAAAATATGGTACATTGACATGTTTAAAATCGTCTTTCACGTCAAAAAGTCTACGTCAAAAAAGGCATTTTATTTCCACAACTGAGGTTTCAATAAATGCTACATATTTTTAAACATAAAATTCGCCTTTCAAGTTTCATCATAGCATTTAAGAAAATGTAACTATTATCGTGAAACATGTGAAACTTTATTCAGTTTTATTCGAAATGCAAGCAATATCAAATATTTATCAATGTTATTCTTTAACAAAACTGCAATCGAAACTGTCAACTTCGTTTATTTCTCTCTGAATTTTTTAGTTTTCCCTGGAGCTCAACAGTGTGAAAAACAAAGTAAAAGACAGAAAACTTTAAGTCTCATAGAATTTCAAGTACCGATAGAACAAAAGTGATAGCTTGTGTTTTCCAAAATGGTCGTCAACCTGTGTGAAGAAAATCCAATTCCTCTCTTTAGAGCTTTTTGTTTCATTTTATCAGCTTTCATTTTCCACGTGGACGTTGAAAAATGTGACGCTTTTTTCAACTATAGGCGTGTAAGCTTTGCGAATTCCCGATTCGTCGTGAAAGATGATAACTTTTGTTTTTCTGAAGAAAAGAAAAAGAATCTATAATAAGACCTTTCAATGTATGTTCCTAAGAGTAAAGATTTAAGAAGAAATATTTGCTTTGAAAAAAATACAGAACATCTTTTGTTGATGAAAATAAAACATTTCTAACCCTAAGAATGCCTTTTAATATATA